TATAATACATCAATTTACAACTCCTGTATTGCAATACACATGATACATCACCAGATATAATGATGTAAAAACATGAATAGTAAAAACAAAAATGACTTTATGTAGATTTTCGGTAAGACTTCCGCCCATAAAATTGGGGAGGGGGAGAGAGAGTCTTCCTGATTTACCAGGATTTCCTGGTTGACTATACGTTGCAGAATCTTCACAGAGACCCTTAAATGTTTCTCCCCAACAACACCCCATCTGTGCTGTGTGAAATTTGAAAACAACTGATTCAGGGTTGTGATTCACCTGCAAAAAGGGAGAGAATATGAAACCATAGCATTGTGTCAGGATACCAATCGTTTCACAGCCAAATTATAGGGATACATATCGTATCGCTGCCTCACCGTAATAATTACATTTCTAATGCCTGTGGAGATGTGAGACCAAGGTCACAACTTTAAACAACACAAGCATTGGACACGCTGGAGAGCATGCTGGATAGATAGCAGTATACAGAGGCAGGACTGTCATTATCTCGGCAAGAAATCTGGCCAAGTTGACATCAGTGACAAGCGGCTATGTATCAACTGATATGTCTCTACCAATACTCACATATATATTCATTGAACTTCTTGTTACTCTGCCTGGTGTTTGACAGCAAGGGCACAGTGACTGGTTGGCTCAGGATCTGTTTGGGTCTGACTGGGGTTGACATGTTAAACTGGAGCATGGCATTAGTTAGCTTCCAGGTTACAACCGATCTTCAGCAACCCATGCTTGTCGTAAGAGGCGACTAACAGGATCGGGTGGTCAGGCTTGCTGACTTGGTCGACACATGTCATTGTACCCCAATTGCGTAGATCGATGCTTATGACATTGAGCACTGGATCGTCTGGTGCAGACTGGATTATGTACAGACTGCTGCCATATAGCTGGAACATTGCTGAGTGCAGCATAAAACTAAATTCACTCATTAGTTAGGACGATAAGTGGCCACACATGCATGCAGTGTTCACGAATGGTGTTTCAAAGTAACAGGACATCCTGTGAGTTTCAGATGTCTGTCTGACCCATTGAAAATTCAAAGGACCCATAGAATAAAATTAAACACACATTTCAGATTTAACATTTCTTATACTTGGCATTGAAATTATTAACAAACATTCATAAACAGGAAACAAGTGTTACATGCTACATATAACAACTTCAGTCAAAGTCCTTGTGAAATATACAGTCAGACACTGGGGCCAGCGGGTTGTAGACTTCTATCAGACCGTTGGCGAATCTGCCGGATTTGTCAGAGGGTCAGACGCTATTCGTGAACACTCTGCATGTACATTCACTGTATAGGTATGATGATCTAGAAAGGATTAAGATGCAAATCCTCATTATACCACTATCACAAATACATTAAAACAATATAAAAACATATACATAAAAAAAGGCTTTTTTCCATTCAATTCTTTGGTAACAATTTTACTTTCAGGATTGGGGGTTGACATAGCAACAAACATAAAATGGAGGAACTATAGTCTCTATTTTCATTTGCATTAATCAGTTCTTATACAATACTCACTAATAATAATAATAATAATAAATATAATCTGTGTGTTATTACGTGATGTCATATATGTTTGGTAATTTTGGGGAAACATAGAAAATTCAAATGAAATTGTCCAGGGAATGAAAAGTAAAAGGATTTCATGTGTACTGACCTTCACTGAAATCAACAATGGCATATTGTGTATTTCACTGAAATCAACTATCAATCTTGGGTAAAAAAAAAAATATTTTTCTAATTTTATTCTGCAATGGTTAATATTTAGTTTGGCAAAAGCTGGATCTGGTGATGCCCAGATGTATTGTTGCTCACACTTATTAAGTTATGTGCTGCCTTGATTACTAACAGGCTCCTGTTACACAGCTGGAATAATGCTGGAATAATGCTGGAATAAAGCTGTAGTGGCAGCAAACAACATCCGCTCATCAGTTATATCAGTTCTAGCACTGCTGAAGCAAGTCTGGATGCAGTTTGAAACACTCCAGGCCTCTGTTTCTCTTCATTATCATGCCCTGTGCTGGTTCAAACTGATTCCAGACCACTGATAGTCTGTCTCACAGTCCCTGAAGTGGCTGCCCGAAAAATTGTTTGCTATGTTCAAAATAAGTGTGTCATTAAAAAGTACACAGTCTCACTGTCCCTGAACCACATTACTTTCCCTTCCGTCCAGCCCTCTCTGCAATGCTAAATATATAAATGAAGCAAAACTAGATTTCCTGTAGTCTATCTCAGCTGAAACACCGACACGGGTACAATGTGTGAAGCCCAGTTCTGGTATCCCCGCTGTGATATTGCTGGAATATTGCTAAAAGCGGCGTAAAACCCAACTCACTCATCTGAACAACATCATTTTTTCTCTTCTGTAGTGGTAAAGCCCTAAATGAAACAAGTCTAGAGGTTATGAATCTCTGTTCTCACTGGGGCTCCTTTTCAGTTTAAAAGGAATTATTTATTTCCTCACAGTTATATATATTCAGAGACTGAGCATCAGTGTAGCCAACAGGGCCTTATACTTTAATACTTTCTGAACCAGCCACACACAGACATTTTTGTCAATTACATCCAGCCATTGTAATGCAGATGATATCTGAAGGAGGAGATACGCCTCACAGCTTGTGGCATGAGAGGACACTTGACACAGGTCAAACACAATACCATCATCTGTGTTATAAGTGCTGGCCCAAAGATTGAAGATCACATGACCTAATGGGAATCACATGACCAGGCTGCCTCCAAATCAGGTCACACTGACCTGGAGAGGTCAATCACTGCAAGGTTGGACCTTCCACAAAGCAGTGGGGTGGGGGTGCAAAGGTTTCACAAAAGGTGGAATTGGTCAGTTATCAAATGTGCATGTCCTTACATCAACTGGCCAAGAGCTGTAGGTGCCAGGTTTATTGATTATACTGCTGAGTAATAAATTTGTGAAAATAGCTGAAATTTCTATTTGCATTTATGTCTGATATTTTCAATACATGCATGAGCAAGTCCATTGATTCATTTTAATACAGGGTCAACTCAACTTCTGGTCCTTTGGCTGGGTGCCAGCAAAACTAACAGAATAAATGTTGTTATCTAAAGTCAGTGGTGCGGTGAGCCAGTCAATAGTACATACTTGTATACTTTAATTATGTATACATGCTTGCATAAAATTGTGACCGGTTCCTGTCAACACAAAATATAGTGGAGTGTTGAAACAATTAATTAGTTAATTAATGTGGGTGGGGTGGATTGGGACGGGGCAGGGTGGGGTGGGCTGATTAGTGTGAGTGTGTTTGAGTGAGTGAGTGTTTGAGTGTGAGTGTTTGAGTGAGTGCGTGTTTGTTTGAGTGAGTGCGTGTTTGTTTGAGTGAGTGAGTATTTGAGTGAGTGCGTGTTTGTTTGAGTGAGTGAGTGTTTGAGGAGTGGTGTTTGAGTGAGTGCATGTTTGTTTGAGTGAGCGAGTGCTTGGTTTGAGTGAGTGAGTGTTTGAGTGAGTGCGTGTTTGAGTGAGTGCATGTTTGAGTAAGTGCGTGCTTGAGTGAGTGAGTGAGTATTTGAGTGAGTGAGTGTTTGAGTGAGTGCGTGTTTGAGGGAGTGCGTGTTTGAGTGAGTGAGTATATGAGTGAGTGAGTACGTGTTTGAGTGAGTGAGTGAGTGAGTGAGTGCGTGTTTGAGTGAGTGTGAGTGAGTGAATGTGTGTGTGAATACTATGGAGGGACAACAAACAATATCATAACCAGTAACAAATGGATCATCCTAATGGGACAGATTACAAGTAGTGATACATAATACCATAATATATCAACAGAATAGACCTGCATAAAAAAGTACCACTTCCTGCAATACATGTATATCTAAGTTTACGGGCAAGCTACAGCCGTCATATAAGAGCTGTCATATAAGAGGTGATTGATCATAACAATCCCAGACCACACAAGAGGAAGTGCAGCTGTCCTACAACCCAAACATCAGATAACAAGCACACATGCATCTGTGTACAATAGTCTGACAGTTAGTCATGCAGGTAAGGCACAGCCTACATTCTTACTGCCAGATATCACTTTATTAACCTGCTTCAACAGTGCTGTGTGATACGACATACAGGATTGTCTGTGTATATTACTGTATACCTGTTCTGACTGGGCGTAATGGTGCATATCGCCCTCCATGTGATAAGAATGATAGTCAGCATAGACTGTGTGTTAAATCTTACAACAGAATACCGTTTACTACATTAGACATCAAGGTAGGGAGACGTGGTAGTGGCTTTTGTGGAAAACAGGACTGATTTTGTGGGTGTGTTTGATTAGAGTAACCATAACATATGAGGCATTTAAAAAACCCACTATAAATATTGATAAGAATATAGGGTTATACTGAGCCTAGTGGGGAATGTGGCTCCAGGCTATTAACACTGTCACTCTGGATAGTATCACAAGCAACAGTAAGCCATGTTTCTTATTGAACAAACTGGCATAAGGGGAATAAAAAACAACAACAATCAAAACAATTTTAACCATGTTTACATAACATCGAGGTTCAATGTTTTGTAAGTATAAATCCCTACTTCCTACACAAACAAAAATATTAAAATGAAAGTAAAAATAACTTGGGAATACAAGGTAGGTTGGTTGTAATTGTTTTGTAAGTCCCTTAGGTTCTTTAAGAGGCAGGTATGATAAACAGGAACAATGGTTATGGACAAACAACTTCTTTATTGCACTAGATGCGACGTTTCGGTGTAGATGCTAACACCATTATCACTTGCCTCATCTACACTGAAACGTCGCACCCATTGCAATAAAGAGTTGTCTGTTCATAAGCATTGTAATTCTTATCCACTTAGTGTTTGTTCATTTTACAGTTGAATTTGTAAATGATTATATCAAGATGTTTATTTACACAGAGTGCATATTAATAACCATCCTTCAGGTCTGCATCAATTAGGAATTATTTCCACTTCAGCTGTCTCATTAAACAGGAACTGGATCTCCATCAACCTCCAATGCTTCAGTGATAAAACGGCTGTAAACGACAAGCTAATAGCTGTATGATAAAGCTGGAACCACATTCCTGAGTGATAAACAGACTTCATCCTAAAGACTGAACCCATCCATAGACAATACCAGGGGCTGGAGTTACATCTATCTCCCCATATCCCGAGTCGGCAGCTGTGACGGCACACGCTACACGGGGATCAGCGCACATGCATCTTGTAATGAGGAAGTAGTTGACAATGATGTCAGTGCCACCGTCACCTTCAAGGTATCTGAATCCAGCCTGTCTGTTCTGACTCATTCTCCAGAAGAAAGATAATGGTTCCTTGCTGGTGCATTCAATATTGTCTGTAAACCAGCCTATTGATTTAAGAGTCTGTTTTGGACTCTACGGAGGATATTATTTGCTGATGTGATGAGTGCAGGATATCTTACTCCTGTGAGAGGATTACTAAAGTTGATTTAAAGCTGCTGTGAAGAGGAAGATTCTGATTCATAAAGAATTGGTAAGTTTGGATGCATGTGGATCTATCTCATTATGGTAACTGAAAACCAATGTAATTGGTTCCAACTTGGTCACATTGATACCAAATTTAGATAAAATATCAATTTTGCAATTAGAATTTTAAAATAAATAGAAACTTCAATTTGAATTTTATAACACTGATTCCAAATTTGATATTTTACTCAAAACAAATAGGTTGGTACTGAAGGAGATGTCTGTTGAAAATCCAAAGATTTTATACTTTGATTGACAGGTAAAACCAGAATTTGTGGTTAGGATGTAATAGAGGTATTATATTTTCAGGAAGACAAAAACAATATCATATATTTTCATGATAGTCTAGTGAATCCCTTATACTCATAGCCTCAAACATTTCCCAAACTAGACATGTCTGAGGCTGTGGCCTTGAGATACAGTGACCAGCTTGTTTCACATGTGTTTTTTTGTTTTAAAAACCACACACACAAAAGAGCAAAACATTAATAATGATCAAATACGTTACTCCATACCATTATTAACAGCCATGCCAAACTTAGTAAGTTATCCTTAGAATGTGAAGAAAGAACAGCACTCAGAGACATAAATGACAGTTACAGCATACAATACAGGGGTGAGGTAAGGCATGGCAAGGTGAGGTGAGGTGAGGTGAGGTAAGGTGATTACACGGTGAGGTGAGGTGAGGTGAGGTGAGGTGAGGTGATTACACAATGCCATTAAGAAAGTGGTCAAATGTAACACGTTATATTTGGGATTACACTGTGTGCTGGTCAGTAGGTGCCTGACTGTACTTTACTGAGAAAGTGTAATCCCAGATATAACATGTGTTAAGGCGATGTGAGGTGATGTGAGGTGAGTTTAGGGAGAGGCGGGATGAGGTAGGATGGGGCGGGGTGAGGTGAGGCAAGGCAAGGTGGGGAGAGTTGAGGTGGGGTGGGGAGAGAAGTGGTAGGATGGGATGGGGTGAAGTGAAGCAAGGCAAGGTGGGGAGAGGTGAGGTGGGGTGGGGAGAAAAGTGGTAGGATGGGATGGGGTGAGGTGAGGTGAGGCAAGGCGAGGTGAGGTAGGGTGGAGAGAGACGTGGTGAGATGGGATGGGGTGAGGTGAGGCAAGGCAAGGCAGGGAGAGGTGAGGTGGGGTGGGGAGAGAAGTGGTAGGATGGGATGGGGTGGGGTGAGATGAGGCAAGGCAAGGTGGGTGGGGATAGGCGAGGTGAGACTAGGTGAGGTAGGATGAGGTTAAGCGGGGTGGAGTGTGGTGGGCAAGGCGGGGCATGGTGGGGTGGGGTAATAAGCCAAAGATGGATCAAAGTAGAGAGTGTTAATGAGGTTGATGAGATATCCTCTTCACCTAGAAGACACAGACGTCCATGAACAAGCTAATTAGCCATACTGACATTGATAAGAGTCAGACTTCAGATCAGTGACTGATATTTCACACTGACAATGACTGACTGCATTTTTGTCATTAAAATATTTAAATGATTCCAAGGCATTTGATTGGCAAACCAAGAAATGTCGTATTCATCACCCACTAACAGATTACAACGTCCTGATTGGCTCTAGGTGCGGAGTTGTTGCATAATTGTGGTAATTTCATGTTTTATTGTCTACAGATTATGTGTGTTAATGATTACCAAAACAACTGTTCAAGTATATAGTTTTTATGCATTCAACTATAAGTTGTGTGTGTGTGTATGTTTTCTATACATATAAACTGACAAACAAACTTTGTGTAAGTAAACACTAAAAGAACTACAGTGAAATTCTTAAATATATTTATGTCTGGATATATTTTAGAAAAATCAACTGTAAATTTAGGCTTAAAATTCCTTTCTTCGTATTTTAAACAAAATAATACATGAAACAGCTTCAAGTTACCCCCAAAAAAAAATGTATAAAACTGTTAACAGTTCTTTGTGCTCAGGTTATCGTAATTCCAACACATTCAAATAGGCTTACAACTGCTTAGCACTAAGATCGCTTTGTGGAACCAGGTCTAGGTTTGTGAGTGAGTGAGTTTAGTTTTACGTCAATTTTAGCAATATTCCAACATCACGGCAAGGGACACCAGAAATACGCTTCACATATTGTACCCATGTGGGGAATCGAACCCGGGTCTTCAGCGTGACGAGTTAAACGCTGTAACCACCAGGCTACCCCACCACCACACAGGTTTGTGAGGCAAGTCTTGCCATGGTGACAAGTGACAGGGGAACACACCCACATCCATCCGACAATATCTGTTTTACTAGCTATTGTTTGGTTTACAAGCTTTTTACACAAAAATATCAAAAAGGAATTTTGACAATTTTTGTTTTGTCCAGATTTGTCGTACAATTCGAGAAAATGAAAAACACAAGAGTTTATCAACACTGCTCAAAAGAAATGTTGAATAATACCTATTAAATCATTAAGCTAAAAAACTCAACTTAACCAATATCTTCTTTATACGTCCATGTCCAACACATTCAAACCTGTTTGTTTTTCAATCATTAGTAGCAGTACTAATCTGGAAGATGAACAATTTTAAAAGATTTATACCATCAACAATCTACAAAATCTTCGACAACCCCCCCCCACCCCCCATGATAATCCGCTTTATCAAAACAACTTATAGAGTTTAACACATAAAGTTCCAATATACTATATGTATAGATATGTATAGATAAGTGTGGTGGTGATCAGTGTAGTGGCTATTCAGGGAGGGAGGGAGGGGCACCTGTTGGCAAGGTGGCAGAGTACAGGATGATTCTGGAAGGCTGTTTATATGTCACTTCCTGTCTCTGGTTCTGCTGCAGTGTTTTGCTGGGTAATCACCAACATTGGTTTTCTCAGCTTAATTAGGATACACTTTCCATTCCTCAACTGGAAGAGCTGAAACAACCTCTGGTTGCCGTAGATACAGTGATGAAACAACCAACTGCCTATTTCAGGACAATTTAAAATCAAGAAGCACTAACATGAGCTCATGGGTTTCATCCAATTATGTCCAAGACCTGTATCAATTTGAGGGGCGGTGGGGTAGCCTAGTGGTTAAAGCGTTGACTCGTCACGCCAAACACCCGGGTTCGATTCCCCACATGGGCACAATGTGTTAAGCCCATTTCTGGTGTCCCCCGCCGTGATATTGCTGGAATATTGCTAAAAGCGGCGTAAAACTAAACTCAATCAGTCAGTGTATCAATTTGACCGTTCCATCATTATAATAGGCAGACTTACAGGTAACTTTTTCGGTCATTGAGTTATGTCCTCGCTCACAATGTGTTCATCTCAACAGGGTATCCTAATTTGCCTTTGAGTATAAACCAAATAAATTGTACCCACCTCACTCAAACTCAATTGGTTATTTTGCCATTTTCCGTTAATTGTAAAATATTTATAAAGTTTAAATGTTGGTTTACATGTTTGTTATATATATATTTGATCTGTAACATAAGAAACAATAAGAACGACTGCAAGTTGCCAAATTCAGGTGCTGAAATAGAACCTCTCAATATACCTCAGTTATTATATATATTTTTGTTTGTACGCATGTAAAATCAAATTTATTGAGTATTTACAAAACTTCAAGTAACTTGTATGCAATAGACTTAATAGGAATTGGTTTTCACATAAATATTTGCGTAATTTACGCAGATACTCAGCATCTGTACCTCTGAATAGGTACTTGTTCTTTCCCTGCCTGGTGCTTGGCATTTAAGGGAAGAATAACCCATTTCACCTTGTCTCACCTCTTCCTAGCTGACGCCCTTGCAATATCTTAAATAACGTCCCAACAACGGCTTAAATAATATTTACAGTCATCGGGGGCAACAAAACTGTGAAAATGTAGGGATTCTACATTCTCACCTGAATCTGCATGGGTCAAAACTCATTGACTTTGTGTTTCAACATATACCAAATGGTCTGATCGTTAAATATATCAATCATAAGATTATCTGGTTCAGATCGGAGTTACTGTCAACTAGCTGGAATATTACATGTAACAACATACACACTGTAAATTCACTTATGGAATGTATTTTTGTCGGACATCAACATATAAGAGTGAGTGAGTGAGTTTAATTTTATGCTGCTTTTAGCAATATTTCAGCAATGTCACAGTGGGGGGATACCAGAAATGGGCTTCATCATCATACAAGAAGGTAACAGTCATGTCAGACCTTGAACTATACCTTTCAGAAATAGGTTTCCATGAAGAGGTTTGTGTCTTTCCACTTCAGTTCTCTTTCCCTCATGTTCGAATGCTCTCAGAAAGGCATCTTGCCAAATGACTCAAGGAGTCGTAACGAACATATCATTCCCCACTTACATGAAATAATTGCCTTGCTTACTCCTTGGAGTTTTGTGTTCAAAAAGAGATGTCCAAATTAGTCAAAATGATGACCAGATAAAGGTATTCTTCCTAAGTATCGGCAACACATAAATATTTAAAATCTCATTTATAGTTGCTGTGGTAAGTGAATTAGCAAGAAAAACATGACTGTTGCTCTAGTAGTGATTGGTGAGCATGGTTAGTGTAATTAGTTCGAGGATTGCTTTCACACTACTTGAACCCTTTCATAGTGTGTGTTTTCTTGGAACACTGGAGAACAAACAGGAAGTCAGGCACTATGGCAAGTTACTCGCACTATAGTGAGTGAGCGAGTCTACTTCTACGCCGCTTTTAGCAATATGCCAGCAATATCCCAAAGCGAGCTGAATTCGACGTTCTGGTGTTTTCGACGATTGCATTGCTGGCGTTATATCGGGGGAGTATGTGCGCGATCGGTTAGCACAAACAATTTCATCAGCAGGGCAAATGCCCAGTCACTGTCGTGAGAAGTTTTATTGACAATTGAAAACCGGAAGTTAAGTTGTCTAAAGAGCAAACAAACATCAATATTATTTACCCGAGATCGTTATTACCATTTCAGATGCAAAATCAACTGCCTTTATAACAAAAAATAGCAATTGAAAAATTCAGTAAGATCATTCGTCTGCTGGTGACAGGCAATATTTAAATAGAAAGCCATGTTATCACAACACTCCCTCGCAGTGCGGAGTGAAAAGTATGGCTCATCGTAGAAAACCCATACAAAATCCACGGATGTGGCGAAAAGCAACAGTTTCGCCGATACGATGTCATCAACCTTATTTTTGTAGGAAACACTTGATATTTTTGTGTGAAATAGTTGAATATGTCCTTTATAACCCAAGGTTAGTAAAATTAAAACGTCAAATGATATTACAGATAAAAATAACGTTTTTGTCTAACATCGTCGAAAACCCCTGATACAGGACACCATAAATAGGCTTCACACATTGTACCCATCTGTGGAGTCAAACCCGGGGTCTTCGGCATGATGAGCAAACGCTTTAACCACTAGGCTACCCCTACCCCCCTACTGGCACTATAGACAAGAGGTATTATTGACAGGTTGTGGCACTATGGGCAGTCAGTGGCACACAGAGAGGCAGAGGTTCTATTGAGAGGAATGTGCATTGAAGCAAGGCCATCATGAACAGCTATGCACTGTAGGAATTTATCTAGACCAGCTCAATGAAAAATGACATTCAGCCCCAGTCAGCAGAAAACAGTACACATTCTAAAATGATGGGATTCCAAATTTACCTGCCATACACCTGCCATACAAGTAGTTTATTCAGTATTCTGGCCACATGGCCTATTGTACAACAACACGACAGAATACAATTGGGTCACGTGTGGGACTTGGTATTAAATAAAAAGCTTTTCTCAGGTTTCTATCCTTTAGCGACGATATATACATTTCCAGCTGTAGAAGGGATAACTTCACTTGTTTGTAGTGCTCAAGAAAAGATGAATTATTGATTGAATAATGCCAGTCTTGTAAGTATATATCAATTAGGCGCTGCTTGAAAATGTAAAGAAACTGTTTCGGATCACCAACATCTTGAGCAAACCAAAACAGGAATTCCAAACTTCACGATTCATGTTATAAGTAATAACAAGCTTTGTCACTAAGGTGACATAATCTCACGCCACAAATTGTGAATGTCATGGTGTGTGAAATATGCAAAACATAGTAATAAAGAAATTGCTTTTCAAAAAACATTCTAGAGTCTATGAAGAAAATCCAGTGAACCGTTCTTAAATATCATGCTGACAATCTTAACATGCTGAAATCTTCAGTGCCGCCGTGACCTTGAAAATTACATGAAGGTCACCAAAATCAACTGCAGGGCCCTGCGCCTTCCCTATTTGAAGCTTGATGTCAAATCTGAAGAAAATCCAGTGAATGGTTCTTGAGGTATCTCGCTGACAAGCTTAACATGCAGGTTAATATGCTGAAATCTTCAAAGTGTCGCTGTGACCTTGAAAATTAGGTGACGGTCACAAAAATCGACTCGGCTCTGGGCCTCCCTTACATGAAGCTTGGTGTCGAATATGAAGAAAATCCAGTGAACAGTTCTTGAGATACCTCACTGACAAGGATAAACGAAGGGCAAGGTTACCAAACCTGTCTGGGACCTTTCTCATACTGTGAAGAACCTAGGTACCAAATATGAAAAGGATCTAGTCAACTATCCTTAAGATATTCCAATTTGTACGTACGTACAGAGCCTAGTACTACATCCCCCGCTTCTAATATATAACTAATGCTATGGCTTACTGTACAGCTGACTTGTATTTTACTGACAAATTTGAGCAAAAGAACAATGGTGTTATTTCCCAAAACTGCCTCCCAGGTGTGGAATCCTGGACATACCCACGGAAACATAATTCACTCACCCATATCCACTTGTGTGTATCATCATCCAGCACCCTCCCACAATAGTCGGTCTCACAGTCCCTGAACCACTTTATTTTCTAATGTTTCTATCAAAATTATATACATTCAGAGACTAAGCATGAGTATACCTCCCACACCTACTTACCTTCTTGTGTACCACCCTAGCAAACAAGTTCTGTGGTCATTCAATCCTCTTCAGATATCAAACTATCTGGGTCCTCCTTTCACAAAGCACTAAGGTGATCGTAAGTCACTAAGGTAACCTTAGTGCAATGTTAAAGAATGGGAGTTAAGGTTAACCTTAGTAAAGGTTGCTTCGTGAAAGGAGCCCCTGGTTTCCCCTGGTTTCCTAGTAAACCACGTAAAATGAAGATCCAAACTCATTGCAGCGTGAAAACAACAAATAGTGTGTATTGACAACTCATTTTGATGATGACACACAGGAAAATAAGGAAGACTTCCTGGTTCCACATGTGGGGTGGTTTAGAAAGTGAGATACCATCAGTATCACAACTGGTTATGGATAGTTGATAGAGAAGAAGACCTCTGTTGATAATCATAATATAATTAATTAATAAATATCTTATAGTGAGGTGACAGCCGAAATCAAAGACTTCTTGCAATGATGTAAAGTGTTTTACATTCTTATGAAAACAAGAATTTACTGACCTGTATCAAGCTTGTACATATCATCCAGAGCACCATCCCTGTTCATCCCACCAAAGATGTAGAGATCTGTGCCGTCTGCAACACCACTGTGACCTGCTCTAGCAGACGGGCACATCTTCTTGCGCTTCACATTACTCCAAGCATTCTTGTCAAGGTCAAGGACATGAAGATCATCATAGAAAGATGACCCAGCCATACCACCATGCACAAAAACTCTGTTGCCAATAGCAACCATGACATGTCCATGACGAGGTTTGGGTGAATCTCCGCGCAGACTTAACACAGACCATGTGGAAGTAGATACATCGTAGCTGTGGACTTGTCGATCTCCAACTGGATCAGCCCCACTATGGCCGCCACTGTAGACAATAAGCTTGTCCTTGACAACTGCCGTCGTGTGAAATGTCCGGGGAGCAGGTGCCGTTCCAGATACTGCCACAGTGCTCCATGAGTTGTCGGCTGTATCCAGGCACTGGACCTCGTTCATATTCCCACTCTGATCAGCACCACCGAAAATGAAGATTTTTCCCGGAAGACTTTCTGCACAGAATGCTACATGTTCGTAACGGGCACGGAGCCCTGTGGCGTCGATGGTATCCCATTGCAGAGTATTGAGATCCAGTACATAGGTGTCAGCAAACATCCCACTTGGGTTCGCGCCACCAATTACATACAACTTCCCAGCATCCTCCTTCCCAGCGTAATCCTTCCCTTTGATGTATGTACACGTGTGTCCTACCCTCATGGTGGGACTTTCCCCCGATGTTGCCAACACGTACCATAAGCTTGGATTGGCAGATGTATCTGTGTCTAACATAGGATGAAGCTCCATATTGGATCAAGAACACAGACTAACACACACCAATTCAAAGAACAATTATTTCTGTTGAAACCAGTATTCAACACTTCAAACACAGGCTGAATTGAGTCCACTCTTCCTAATTTTGCACAGCTAAAATATACTTCCAAGACAAAGTTATTGAATTCGATGGGTATGAATGTGAAGCCGGAGCTGAGTTAATCTGATTGTCAAGTCACCAGCACTGGAAGCACTCCTAAAATCGCCAATATTATCCAAATTTACACAGGTTATTTACGAGCTATGCTTCCACAACCTTGTACAAATGCTTTCGTGATCTACACTACGTAGTTGGCACAAATGGCATGGACATCTCCCTATGTTGTCACATTATCTGACAGACTTTACTCTGAACACTTCTCCCTTCTTTCCTGGTGATCGACGTAACCCGAGTAGCCGCCTGTTTTGTGGCTACCACTCCTGTGTTACCGTAGTGACCAAAGTCAACAACACTGTCACTGTCGTCAAGGACCTGTGATTTGTCTTCTTCTGAACTCAGATCCTTCCCATTAGGGCTCAGAGGTACAAAGTCTTGTTCTGATGTGAAGCTAACTTCTTTGGGGCTATATGGTAGAGATTCCTCTTCTATGCCAAAGCTGTTTTCCTGAGGACTACTTGCTGTTTCTACAGACCTGAAGCTACTCGAAGCTTCTCCCGAACTATTTAAGGTCTCTTTCGGACTATTCAATGAATCTCTAGGACTATTCAGTGAATTATTAGGGCTATTCAATGCTTTAGGGTTATTTAAGGTCACTCTAGTACTGTTCAATGTTTCTACTGGATGGTTCGGGGTTTCTCTAGGCTTCCTTGGTGCAGCCTCAAGGTCATTTAGTGTCTCTTGTGACTATTTAATGTCTCTTTAGGACTTGTCTCCCTAGATCTATTAGGTGAATCTTTAGGACTACTCACGGTCCTTTTAGGGCTGTTCAGTGTCTCTCTGGTACTTTTCAAAGTTACTACTGGACTGTTTTGTGTTTCAATGGGATTTGTTTGCGTTCTCTTTGGACTCAGTGGAACCTCTTTAAATTCAAGTTCAGTTCTAAAAGACAACTGTGCACTTCTGGGACTCTGAAATGGTGTACTATTGTCAGAACTAAGACTGGTCTCCCTCCGACTGTACGGTGAGTGATCACTATGAAAACCTAGATGTGTCTGCCCCGGGACTCGATAATGGAGTATACTTTTCAGTCACAGATGGTTCTTTCAAGGCTTTAGCACCTTTCTTAGGAGTAGAGTCTTTGTTCTTTGAGCTCTTCTCTGCCTTCTTCTCCGCCTTCTTCTCTGCCTTCTTCTTCTCCTCTTTCTCAGCCTTCCTATACGCAGCGAATCGTTCAGCGGCTTCCTTTCGTGCAATCACGCCCACGTTACCATAGTGAGTTACTTCAACACCAGCACTAGCATCGTCAGGTTGTCTTGGTTTCCCTTGGGACAAGTCTTTCTTCTTCTTCTGAAGCTGTTGGAAGACCACGTGAGCAGTGTCCTCGTAGCGCTGGTGCACAAAGTAGGCTGATTCCTGGAATGGCGGCGACTTGTTCATTGAGCACAGAAATCACGTGGCTACCAGGAGCCATCTAGCGGAAAATACTGAAACAGACAAGAAACGTGGATCAGTATAATGTCATCTACTGTGGCACATTTCTACATTACTGAAAATAGGAAAGTCTTGAGTCTAGAAATTTATACTGTTTTGTTCATTTAGGAGTATACATTATTATTACTAAGCTAGATGATCTGAAATTGAAAAAGTGAAAAATCTATCGACGAAGTGATTAACATTTTTCATCTGCAATAAACATTTTGAATTATGTCATCAGATTTTGGTGAATAGCAGCTATGTCAATGATGTCATCAGATTTGTGTGATGTAGGCAGCAGCTGCCTGGCACAATGATTGAGTCTACAGGTGTGATGAAGGTAGTAGCTACCTGGAACACAATGATTGAGTCTACAGGTGTGATGAAGGTAGCAGCTACCTGGAACACAATGATTGAGTCTACAGGTGTGATGAAGGTAGCAGCTACCTGGAACACAATGATTGAGTCTACAGGTGTGATGAAGGTAGCAGCTGGAACACTATCTACAGCTGTGATGAAGGTAGCATGGAACACAATGTTTGAGTCTACAGGTGTGATGAAGGTGTATCTCTTTTAAGTGCAATAATTTGAACCCATCTTAAACTTAATTTCACACCTCTACTTTTCTTTTCAAAAGGGAATTGAAAAAATTATATCTGATCAAAAGGTTGATCATGAATATACATACTAAGAACTTAGATTATAGTTTTCATTTTACTTTTTGCTGTTTGTTCTACTGACCTAGAAAATGTGCAAACCATGAAATATAACCTCGCGTTATCAATATTCGCTCACCTAACACGTTTGGTGCGTTATGCGGAATTAACAAGGCACGTGAAAATCAACTTTTATACAAACCTTTATCAATAGAAAATGTTTATTAAAACATAAGTTTCAGCCTTTGACACTTCGCTATCGTAGCGGGACGAAGCCATCATGCACACAACAGTATCAAGGTCAGTTGTGCACTACGTCATCAATATTCGTGATAGCTAAAATCCGGACAAACAGTATGGCGAATAGTTAACGCCAACAGCTGATAACAATGTAACATGAAGTTTATGTCTCACAATGCTCATAAGAAAGGTTTTGTCAAGAAATGTCCAGAATTTGTCTACTTTTGTCTATCTTAATAAACAAAACGCTTTTAAACAAGTAAAAGGTCCTGTAATCTTGAATGAAAGTTAAAAAAACATTCTTCATCACTTGGAGACATTTACTGAACAACCACAAGCATAGTTTTGTAATTCATTAATTATAACTATTTGATTTCATCTTACGAAATCGTCATAATTGCTTTTACTTGGTAACTTTTCATGAAAATTTGTTGTAAAGTTATAAGGATTGTGTCTGAAATGGGCTTCCATAGTTATTTTTCCCGGGGCCACAACCCACCTACTGGGATCATGACCTTTTAGCGTTACCAGTTACAAATGCAGACGACCGGTAGATGGGTGCTGTCATGAAAAAAACCTATGTTTTAGGGCTCATGTTCGTCTCGATGTTTTTGCATTAGTGCAGAAGCATAAAAATATGCTTGCTAGTAAACTTTGGATAAAAAACTCTCATTTGAAGCTTGTGATTCCCAAATTATGACAGCAGGAATACGAAGACGACTTCATGTTTACAAACTCTGACATCATGACTTTATGTGTGGCGACCGCGTGAACCCGGAAATGATAGGTGCACGAAAATAGATGTCCGCGAATTTACATAACGCCAGGATACTGATCAGGTCTTGTGAAGAAAAGTCCTGTAAAATATTTACATGTGAGTGAGTGAGTATGGTTTTATGCCACTTTTAGCAATATTCCAGTAATATCACGGCTGGGGGGACACCAGACATTTGCTTCACACATTGTACCCATGTAGGGAATTGAACCTGGTTTTCCAAGGTGACAAGCAAACACTTTAACCACTAGGCTACCATCAAACCAACCCTGAATGTATGACGATCATGATGAACTGGGCGGTAGGGTAGCCTAGTGGTTAAAGCGTTGGCTCGTCACGCCGAAGACCCGGGTTCGATTCCCCACATGGGCACAATGTGTTAAGCCCATTTCTGGTGTCCCCCGCCGTGATATTGCTGGAATATTGCTAAAAGCGGCGTAAAACTAAACTCAGTCAGTCAGTCATGATGAACTGACACTGTCGAAAGTCTGGAGAAGATTAACAATCGTCATTTTCCATTGCTTGTACAGATTATTTAATCCCTGACCTTGGTTCTTATTCAGGTTTCTTATCCGAATGAAATATTTATATCAGGAAACAGGGAATAAAATGTGTTGATGACATATTCATATACCAGTGACCTAATTATCTAAATGTTTCGTGGAACAGTAACAGTATGTTCAGTTAAATGTCTCAGGTTATCTATCATGTTGAAAATGTATACAAATGACCCAGACTATATAGACAGTGATCACCTGTTTCACGCCAAGCTCTATGAATCATTGTGAAATACAAACAGCCTCACAAAACAATCGCTTTCATGATTCAACCTTTCACAAATACTGTATTTATTGTAATAAGTAACCTTGGTGCTGAAAAATTTATCCAGGAGGCAGCTATTAAAAATAATAAACTTAAATTTCAAGTCAGTAATGTGTAGTTTAAATAATGTCAATTAAACTAAAACTTGTTTTATGCTGGGAAAAATATTTATGAAATAATTTAAGCAAGTTCTGTTATCTGAATGAAAAATATTATCTGGCATGTTGATAACTGACTTATAAAAAAACGAACACATGTACATATACTCCTTTACAACAACTGTGATCACTTGTCTGCAAAGAGTTGAAACAAATGTTGATAATGAATTCATAAAGAACATACTTAACTGAAATCAAATGGCTACAAGTGCCATCCTAGTACTGTAGTGATAGCATGTTAGTTAAAATAACAAATATATACAACCAATTCTCATTTCAACTTAAATCTACATGTCTTGTCAAACATTTGTAGTGATGCCATGCTGACATTTTGAATAATTAACTTACACAACATATCCTTATTTCAAATCAAAACCACAAGTCTTGTCATACAGTTGCTGTGATTGCAAGTTAACTTGTTGAATAATGAATTGCTACAACACATCATATTTCCAAATCAAACGCCACCATACAGCTGTGGTGATAACATGACATGTTGAGAATGAGTTTATGCAACACACCAATAACTTAAATGAAATTACAACATCAATCATCTGTGTGAATGAACATTTGATACAATTTTTTAAAAACTCTGAAACACATCCTCATTTCAATCAAACAACTACAAAAATGTGTTTACAGTTTATTAACCATGATTTATACAACATATCTTATTCAATCTGAAAGTTTCACCAACTGTGGGAGCATGATAAAAGCAAGGTATGCCTACCTCTAGTGACTACCGACTGTCAACACCGCATTGACCCCAGCTCGTTCACACCCTGAACACTGTATCACAACCAATATCAGTATTAGTTTCATTACATTGCCAGTAATTAGTCTGTCTGTGTTTTAGACTGGGAAATGAACTTACCAAGATGAGGCGAGATCCGAGATCCGCTGTCGGCAGGACAGATATTCAATCACACTAAATATCTCACAAGGAAATGCCTCCCACCACCTCGTTATAACAACACAGCTGGGACCTGTGGTATAAATAGCTGTGGGCGAGTCTTAAGGTCTGATGAGAATTGTTGATATAGACTGCTGATAGGGTATATTGAGTATATATACTTAATATGTAGTATGATATCACAATATTATATCACAGTATTATCAACAAGTCTTTAAGTGTCAGTTTAAAGAAATAACCATGATTCTAGGAGTTCATCAAAGGATGATGATTTTAATGATGACTGATGACTAAATTGTTCCAAGAAAATTCAATCATAATTAACCTTATTCATATATTCATATCATTACACTGCTAACAAATAGAAAAACTAAATATGACCTCTGTATCATAAGTAGTTTATAGTTCATGAGACGTTAATAAGATGAGCCTTGCCTCTTACTGTATTCCTATCAAATAAAGTCCTATAGGAGATCCTCAACATATTTTACGCAGCATAAATGTCATATTAAATTATGATAACATGTACACACACACACGTACACAAAGGTTAATATAATAATATGGGACAGAATAAGCGTCTTGTTTCATTAAACATAAATGATGGAAATGTATTCATTGCTTGATATTATCAAGTATGAACCATATAGTAGATTAAAGGACACCACATCTTCCAAAACTTTCATCTCCATCAAGTCTAACCAACTGACCTGTCTAGACACACCTGTGCTATAGCGAGCCCTTTCACATGTGTGATGCACAGGTAAACAGTTTCCAAGGAGAAGGTCAGATACCTGAGTCCCATGCCATCTCCGTAATTAGCTGGCTCAAGTCAGACAGCCACCGATCCACTCACTGGCCAGGTGATGTTCCCTCACAGTCAGTTGTACACAAAACAAATCGCAGTCAATTTCAACTTAAACTCTTCCCTACAGTTAGGGCTGCATATTCATGGATGTTCATAGACGCTTCACCAAATGATTCTGCCGTTGACTGTCACATCACTGATAAATGAGACAAGGAAACTATATACCTCATATTACATTTCTCAGCTCAAGGCCTCAGGTGCAAAATTTATATTACAAAATCATGCCCCTGCTATTTGTGGTTTGGAATGTAATATTCACCATATTTAAGATTTTGTGTTTGTTTAAGCACCATGCATGTGTTCATGGGCTAAACCTGTACAATCTGTACTATCTTCCTTTGCCATCCATTCATCCATCTATCCATTTACCCAACCCTTACTCCCTCCCTCCCATCCAACCTTTCATCCATCCATCCCGCCCTCCCTACTTTCTTCCACCCATAAACCATCCCTCCCTCCCTCCATCCATCCATCCCAAACAGTTGTCTACCAAACCATTCCCCTCATATAAAGGTGTCGGGCTGTGGGGTAGCCTAATGGATAAAGTGTCCACTCGCCATGCCAAAGACCCGGGTTCAATTCCCCACATGGGTACAATATGTGAAGCCCATTTCTGGTCTCCCCACCATGATATTGCTGGAATATTGCTAAATGCAGGAAGAACCACACTCACTCACTCATATAATGGTGTTGGAAGAAACTGCTGAGTCAACAAACAAAAATGCTTGAGAGAGAATAACCCAGTCAAAACAATGAACATATGTGAAAGATCAAAGACAACACAACTCCAGGCGACAATACCCAGTCTCACTACAATCAGGAAGTAGATGAAAAGAAGTAACGTCAAGGTCGAGCAACTATGTGTGAACACAGTGTGTACTATTGTCACATCAACTGATGGTTTTCAAGATCTTTAGTTTTGTAGGCTAACATGAATCCCACTGATTACATTTGTTAAGGACCATTTCTGATTTCAAAATCAGTGTTCGCGAATAGTGTCTGACCCTCTGACAAATCCGGCAGATTCGCCAACGGTCCGATAGAAGTCTACAACCCACCGGCCCCAGTGTCCGACTGTATATTTCACAATGACTTTGACTGAAGTTGTTTTATGTGACATGTGACACTTGTTTACTGTATATTTTATCTTAATTTTTCTTACGTTTGTTAATAATTTCAATGCCAATTATAAGAAATGTTAAATCTGAAATGTGTGTTTAATTTTATTTCATGGGTCCTGTGAATTTTCAGTGGGTCAGACAGACATCTTAAACTTACAGGACCCAATGTCCTATTACTTTGAAACACCATTCGTGAACACTGCAAAATACATAAATGAGTGAACAATATTTACAGAGAAACCCACAAATGTCCTTGAAATGACATGGTTAATGTGAAGTTCAATAACTGAGGTATTGATTGTTCAGTGATTGAGTTAATATTTTACTTAATGTCTGCAGTCTGTGGAAAGACTTCACACTACCAGGACAAGCAGCTGCTACTATGTGCTCTTTAGCCTCTTTAGCCCGTTCCGGGAACTAAGAATGTTATCTCAACCATATTTATCAACAAACAAATATTTTTAATTAATTCCTTTGAAGATGCTGTGAAACTAAACGCTTTTCATTTCCTTAAACATATTGTCAGAATACAAAGGGAAGTTTAATGAAAGCAAAATCAGTTTTCCGTTTAAGTGTTACGTCCTCTTTTAGCGAACTCCATCACTTAGCATAATACTGCTGCAACATGCCAGTTGGTTTGTAGGCATTTCTTTTGATTGTACACAATGTGCTCAGTCTGAAACCTGCAGCTTTCTGTACAATATACAGATTGTACTGAACAATTTATACCAATACAACTGCCATAGAGAGAAGCATGTCAGTATATTCATAGATCAAATTGACTATAACTACGTATCCACTGGCCTTTGATGTGTGCCCGTGGAACATTACAACCATTGTAAACGAGGGATAAATATACAAATGGAAGCAGTTATTCATATTTTATTACATTTTCTCAATTAAAGTAAAAGATTTCAGGTGCTATGTTTACATAAATGTGTAGACTATTTTCAAGTTGTAAGGACAATAAACTAATCTAATTTGTTGAATGGTCTGAGTTAAATGTGACGCATCGCCAAATCTTGCACTAGGTACTAGGGTTCCTGCAAGGAGCTCTGGATATAGGAGATGGGCCTTTTACAAGATATTGAATTGAAGTAATCAAACCAACATTTCATAGTATGAGCATTGTTTGACAATCTTTGGGGGAAAATATACTGACCTTGAGGAAAATGTGAAAGGTCACTTTCCTTTTTAGACACACTATAATGGCAAGAAATGTCAAAAATGTTAAACAGATATTGTCAAACTCTAAAGTTGTCATTTGTCTACCAGTTTTCTGTGCAACCAATATCCCTGCACCTATCCTGTTGAAAAAGATGTGTATTGACCCCAGCAAAACACTTTTAAAATTGTTCTACATAGGTTCATTACGGCATTGCCAAAAATGTGATTGCCTTTCTGAGTTTCTTTCTATTGTGTTTCCATTGTGTTTTGTAAACACATGATCTATACTTCCCAAGTGTAACTAGGTTACCATAAGTAAACAAGTGAGTATGGTTTTACGCTGCTTTTAGCAATATTCCGGGCAACATCATTGCTGGGGAACACCAGAAATGGGCTTCAAACATTGTATCCATGTGGGGAATCAAACCTAGGACTTCGGCGTGACAAGCGAACACTTTAACCACTAGGCTACCCCACATGTAAACAAGGTGAGGTGAGGTGAAATTGGGTTTTACGTCTTGCTTGAGAATATTTCGCTCATATGACGACGTGCATGCGTGTGTATGTGTATGTGTGGCTGCTTGTACTAGCCAAGACTGAAGCTGGTTTTATAGTGCTAGCCCACTGAGATACCATGCCGCAGTCAAGCATGAATACCCCACTCCACTCAGACACATTATACTGACTCCGAGCCGACCAGTCCTTGTTGTACCCATTAATGCCGAGCGCCAGGCAGGGACCAACAAGTACCATATTTTAACGTCTTTTGGTATGATGCAGTCGGGGATCGAACCTGCGACCTTCCGCTCTCCGCGGGCGGATGCTCTAACCACTACACTATGGAGGCGGTCACATGTAAACAAGGATCGGTCGACTATATCATAATATCATAAGACATAATTATTTGTCAAAGATAATATCAAAGTCATTCCGTCTATAAAACAATGATGCCTTATTAGATCCTCAAAATTGACTTCTATGTCTGAAGAACATCCAATTAACTTGATGTGGCCTTACTAGCTGTTATTTGTGTATAGGGACTTTCCCCACCTTGAAGCACTTACAGCAAGTCTGACATAACGGCTGTATACACCATTATGTATATGAATACAAGATTCATTGATACATCAACTACCTCTTACGGTGCTTGCAATCGCACCAGCACAATCAATGCATACTTGAAGTTTAAAAGGTAACTTGACCTTCCTGATAAAACTATTGTATAGGTTGCCCATGTCAGTGTACACACACCAACACTGACTGTCAAGGATCTCATATGACGCTAGATAGCATCAGATCCTGTCAACAGAAAGTGGAAGGTTGTGTGTTAATGACAGCCCATCAGCAAAATATTTATAAACAATGTAAGCACATAATCCTACCCTACCGTCCCAGGTCACGATTACCACAACCGAGAGAAGTCGACATATGAGCTAATCCATCTTGACTCCGAGCACAATCCTCAGTTAGAATCAGCGAACCGTGATATATACCTTCTGTGATGGATTTGTCGATCGGTATGGCTTCTTTCCAAGCCTCAACGTAGACTCAGCTCCACAGCTTTCCAAACAACATGTCTGAGGCATGGGCAATAGTGTCTTTCTGGGAGACAAACGACGTCGGACAACACTGGAGATGTTCCTCAACGCTACGTCACTGGAGTGTAACCAAGCGAAGCATAGATGCAGAACATGAATAGAATATCTAGGCGTCTATTCCCTGTCACTGACCCTACAAACAAACCTGTTTTATCCAGATAATATGCATGTCAAGCAAGAGCTGCGACATATCCCGTGTTTCTACAGGCTGTAAACTATGTGATGACACAGGGCCCACTATTCAGTTATATTGACAAGCTTTCATCCCAGCTTACATAACACACCCCATCAACTGCCGTGTTATAAAGAGGAGGTTTACATGAACCAAACCCTGTTATAATGAAGTATTTCACAGGTGTGACTACCTATTCTAGTATGACTGTGATTAATGAGGTATATAACTATACACTATTGATTGCGTTTTATCTATTTCCTCCTGTTTACCTGTACATAAAAAAAAATAATTCCTGTTCAGAATAACATTTATTTCTCAGAAGGTTTTGCATTTCTTCAACAGGTTATATTTTAATCTTAATCACTGTCAATTAGATAGAGCTGTGATAAAAATCTGGCCTCAAAACAACCAAGTTTTATAGACAAATATGGAAATTAAATGACATGTTCCTTGAAAACAGATAAGAATATCAAAAGAAATTCTATAAACAAATGAACAAATAATAAAAACTATACCACATAGATAACTTCATACATGAACCAAGGTGAGTGAATGAATGTATCAGCAATGGGAGCTAAATTAACTATAGCTTTCTGAATTAAGTGATAGGGCTGAATACATTATAGCTTTCTGAATTAAGTGATGGGGGGCTAAAGATAATATACCTTTCTCAATTAATCTTTGGATGAAATATTGGCTTTCTCCATAAGTGATGGGGCTAATAAAATAATGGGTTTTTCAATAAGAGATGGGCTAATAAAATAATGGGTTTCTCAATAGGTGATGACCTAATAAAATAATGGGTTTCTCAATAATGGGACTAAAATCATGGGTTTTAAGTAATAAAAATAATGGGATAATAAAATAATGGGTTTCTCAATAAGTGATGGGGCTAATAAAATAATGGGTTTTTTCTCAATAAGTGATGAGCTAATAAAATAATGGGTTTCTCAATAAATGATGGGGCTAATCAAATAATGGGTTTCTCAATAAGTGATGGGCTAATAAAATAATGGGTTTCTCAATAAGTGATGGGCTAATCAA